ATTCTATTAACGTAAATAAATAGAGGTAATTTTACAGTAAAACTTTTGTATAAAACATTTTTTGATATCTTGAATAGTTTTCGAGATAAAAGAAAAAAAAATTAATTTTCATATAAGGGGTGGTTTCATCCCTTTAAACCGTTTTTTAGCATCAACTGATGATTTCTAAATTCATCTATTTATGTGACCTCAAAGTGTACCAAGTTTCATTCAAATAAGAATTTGACACTTCGCGAGGTTCCCTTGTCAGCCTCAGTGCTGTGACGTGCAACTACATTATATATATCTCGATCATACTATTTGTTGTGCAGACCACATTAGAGAGATAACAATAACGCTTCGATTGAGGCAACCACATATATGAAGATATTCTAACCGAATGTTATTTATTCTAAGCACTACGGTTGCGACAATCGTGCTAAACTTAAATTCATATGCATTTCCTTTCCAAGCATAGAGAATATTGTTGTGACATCCATAGCAATTTTTTCCATGTACGAATAAACACAGAGTACGTCGATTTAATTAATTCAGATTGTTTCGAATAATTCAGAGATCAGACGTGCAATCAGCGAGAATCACGAAACGATCATTTGGCGTGCAATTACCTTATGCCCAGCACCGCCGACGCGTGTTACTTCGTCAGGATCCAACGATTTTATGGCGCTCTGGACAATTCCGTCGGAATGCGAACTGAGAACGAACAATACGATTATGTGTTCGACGTAACGAAATACCAACGTGTACAAATGTTAAAATTGTTCCGCTAACCGAGTGGTCGTGATTATTCTCCTTCCATCTGGAGCCGACTTCGGCGTGAATCCTCCGAATCCCGCGCCGTCGATACCCCACAACGTACGGCCGTTCTCAATGTACGTGCCGTTTTCGTCGATTTTGTAGTACGGCTGATGTATCACGCCTCCGATTGCCGTTTTGCCGATTGCCACGCCGACTAATACCGTAACATGCTCCACCAGTCCTTGCGTATATTCCGCCGTACCTACAATGAAAAAAAAGTTCTTTACAAACAATGTTGATTTATGTCTTAAATTTGTGGTATGCAATGCAGTCCAGGCAGGAGTCGGTAAAATAATTAATACAACTTATTTAAAATAACAAATATAAAATAAATTCCAGAAACTTATTTAAAATAAAATATCGCAGGGGCCAATTCAAAACTGATACGACTTGTTTAAAATATAAAATAGATTCCAAAAACGTATTTAAGATATTAAATGAGAAATAGATCAGAAGAAATTTAGAATAATAAATACTAAATAATTCTTTTACTTTTTTTTAATTTAAAATACATATTTTAAATAATGTTATTTTAAATACGACCGATTCCTGATAAGCATAAATCGGTAAAGTAACTGATATAACCTATTTAAAATAACAAATATAAAAGATTCCAGAAACACGACTTATTTAAAATATAAAATATAAAATAAATTCTAAAAACATATTTAAAATATTAAATATAAAATAGATCAGAAGAAGCTATTTAAAATAATAAATATTAATTAACTCTTTTACTTTTTGTTATTTAAAATACATATTTTAAATAATGTTATTTTAAATACGACCGATCCCTGATAAGCAGAAGTCGGTAAAATAATAACTAATATAATCTATTTAAAATAACAAATATAAAATAGATTCCAAAAACATATTTAAAATATTAAATATAAAATAGATCAGAAGTAAGCTTTTTAAAATAATAAATACTTTTACTTTTTGTTATTTTAAATACATATTTTAAATAATGTTATTTTAAATACGACCGATCCCTGATAAGCAGAAGTCGGTAAAGTAATAACTAATATAAACTATTTAAAATAACAAATATAAAATAGATTCCAGAAACATGACTTATATATTTAAAATGAAAAATATAAAATAGATTCCAAAAATATATTTAAAGTATTAAATATAAAATAGATCAGAAGAAGCTATTTAAAATAATAAATACTAAATAACTCTTTTACTTTTTGTTATTTAAAATACATACTTTAAATAATGTTATTTTAAATACGGCCGATCCCTACAAAAAACACACGTTTAAAGCACACATCAAAAGCGCGAATTTCATTTCTCATGCAGAATTTTTCTTCATATTCAAATTAAGATGTCAATACCATCAAGAGGGTCCACCCAGATACACACATCCTTGGGATTAACGTCCTCCAGGTGGGCCGGTAATTTCAACTGCAACACCTCTTGATCAGCTTCCGTGATGATCCATTCCGATGGCACCTCGCAGTTGGACGGCTCCTCCTCGCCGATGATCGTGACATTTGGAAATTGTCGACTAAGCGAAGTTATGATGCATCGCTGGGCGCAACGATCCGCCTCGGTCTGCAGATCATTCTTGCCCTTCTCCACAATATTTAATCCACCTTTGTTCAGAACATCACGGATTATTTTCCCGGCTTGTATCGTGGCCGATACAGAGGATGCTACTATGCGTGTTAACAGAGCGGCGCTTTGGGCCATTTTAATAATCTTTGTAGAGATGATAAGTGGCGATATCATACATCATCGATAAGCCATCCCCGTTTCTGAGAAACAATCCAAAGATAATATCTAAGGAGCATATCTATCATATCCAGGGCTGGGCATATTTTAAATACTTAGTATTTGAAATGCAGTATTTGAAATACAATTTGTATTTTGTATTTTAGCGGAGCATATAAAAGTATTTTGTATTTTGTATTTCAAAAAAGTTATTCAATGTATTCAGGGCTGGGCAAATACATCATTAAAAGTATTTAAAATACGAAATACAAAATACTGGCAATCTTAGTATTTGAATTACAAGATATAAAATACTTTCAATCTTTCGATTTGAAATACATAATACAAAATACTTTTATGTGCTCTGCTGAAATACAAAATACAAATTGTATACAAGTATATATTTGCAATATGCCCAGCCCTGAATGTATTTTGCATTTCAAACAATTTCAATCCATTTTGCATTTGAAATACTATAAAATCCTTGACAATATAGTAACTTAAATTTTTCTTATATAGTAATTAGCGACACTAACTGTTTTTATCAAGTTTCAAGCAATGTCAAGTCAAATTTTATAATCTCACATAAGTAGACTTTTCATGCGGTTAATACAGGACAATAGGACTATTAAAGCGTATAAGAGAGTAAAACAACTTTCTTTCTCTCTCTAAAAGTGAAGAGGGGACTGTTGGGGAGGGAGCGAATTTAACATTATATATACATATTCGTAATTAAAAGATTAAATTGAAAAGTATTTTGTATTTCAAATAAAAACTTAAAAGTATATTTTGTATTTTGTATTTCAAATCAAAAGATTAAAAGTATTTTATATTTTGTAATTTAAATACTATAAGATTTCCAGTATTTTGTATTTCAAATACTTTAGTAATGTATGTATTTTGCCCAGCCCTGATTCATATCTGTAAAAGCTAATTATAAAATTAAAAGTGTACACATAACCTTATAATTTAATAATAATCTAACGTGACAAAGCAGAAACTTTTACCTTCATTGCTCGAATATTTTGTCTCTATATAAATTGATGTAATAATTTAATTATCATGTAAATCGTCAAATTCTAAACTGAAGTACTATTCTATTTAAAAAAAAAAAGAATTAAAACATAACCAAAAATAATGTTGTCATGGATACACGTATCGAATTACAAAATATGTACCTCCAAAAAATATATAAGATGCTTGAAATTTATAGTTCGTGTATTCGTTTTTATATGAATTATGCATAGTGTGCATTTGTTAATTATTTAACTTACAATTATCTTAGGCAACAAGCGGAAAATGCATGCACATAACTAATACGCTAAAGTCGCTAACCGCTAAAGTAAAGGTTAAGTGAGAATAGTAAGATCAGGTTAGATCTGTTTGTGGTTAGGTTTAATTGTTTACAATGTTTACGAACGGGGCAGCACACGAAGCGCCGAACGCGTGTAGAAGCATCTTCTGCGTGGCAATTGATTATGAAACGAAATGCTGGAAGAAATTTCGCAATCCGCAAAGAAGATTGGATTATTTGGCAAAGAGGAGTTAAGATTATTTGAAAAGTCTCATCCACGATTGCTCTTGTCTATGGACATTGCACTGGTTCTCTGAGCGCCGAGATTGCTCTTTATTTTCATTTAATTTGCAGATCGAATATTAAAATGTTATGCAAAAGGTTTTCATCTGTAACAACCTCTTGGCTATCGAGAAAGAGTAGACACCTCATAAATGTATACCGCTCGACACTGACCGACAACAGTTTGCCTGCTGTAAATCGGAAGAAAGAAAATGTTGATACAGAGGCGAAGAAACCGATTGAAGAGACAACGACGAAAGTGAGGAAGAAGAGGGCGAGGAAAATCAACGTGCTGGATTACATCGAGCAGTCTGTAATTCGTAACAAAGAGATGCTGGACCTCGTTAATTATATACAGAAAGTCAATCCAGATATAATGGACGTTATTCGATCTATGAGGTATGGGACATTCAGGAAGGGGGATGCGAATATATTACACCTGATTGACAAGGATACCGCCGCGAGATATGTCTCACTGATCGGGGACGACCTCTCGAGGAACATGTGCTACGTCGCCGAATTGAATCCCGGCTTTGGCGTGCTGACGCAAGAATTATTGAAAGCTGACGTACCGCTGATTCATCTGTACGAAGGGAATGCAAAGTTACACAAGATATTGGAAACGGTCTGTACGAAGTATCCTGGAAGGCTGAGCTTAATGCCGTTTAAAAATTCTAATCTCTTCGGCGTGGCAAGAACGATTTATGAAGATAAAATTAACGATGAGAAAATGTCGAGGTATCAAAATAGGTTCAAGGCGATAGAGAGCAAAAATTGGGAGGACGAAACTTACATGCAAGTAATAGGTGCAAGCGATAGCAAGGATTTATTTACATTTATCATAAGCAGTTTAATCTTTCGCAACGGTTTCATGTGTCATGGAAGGCCCAGCTTCTACATCGCGATACTACCATCCTTGTGGCATGTTAGTTTATATATATTAATTTTTTTTTCTCTTTGAAATATTTAAAACTATACATACATGATAATCTGCACTGCTGTTTGGTTTTAATGTTTCAGAGATATGATATCGATACTAGGAGAATCAATAGAAAACGTTACACTTATGCAAAGGTGATGTTCCAATTAATGTTTAATTACGAATTTCTGGGAACATTGAACAGAAAGGCATTTATACCTTGGGCAAAAAGAAAGTATCAACATAAGTCACGCCAATTGGTCACACCGACGTTATTGCCGAAGCAAGATGTACAAGATGATCAGATGTATGTAATAAAACTTGAGCCCAAAGCTGATCTTTACTCGCAACTGTCGCGAAAAGAGTGGATAACATTTTCCTATTTTGTGAAACATCATATGCAGGCACGCAGCAACAGAGTGATACCTTCATTGGAGTGAGTACGATGAAAAAAAACCTATATGGTTTCTGTCAAATATTTTTTTTGTAATAGAGAATCTTAAATACACCTTTCTCTACTTTACATACTGTTCTGTCTTTAGAAGATGGATACCGAACTGTGGAATTAAACTTATAGCCAAAGATTACACGATATACACACAATTTGGAGACTTAACGCCAGCGCAAATTCTGGAACTCTTTAAAGAATTTAAATCTTGGCCGGGATACAAAGAAAGCCATTTCGTAGGTTCGATGAACAGTTCTGTGGGTGCGCATAACGAACCGGAACTTTTTAACGAATAATCCTGTAATGTATATTTCTTATAAATATAAAATAATAACGATAATGGAGCTATTGAGCCAAGCAATTAAACGTACAATTTATAGTTTATTATTTAAATAGCTTCATAATAAATTTTGTTTATCATCACAGTTCAAGATTATTAGCACATTACACCCAGCCTGGCTCAACAGCTCCGTTATAATTTTATTATGAGCCTTTGATAATTTGCGTTTTATTTTAAATTTATAAAATAAATATGAATAATTATTTAAAAAACTCAGTTTTTAACATTTAAATATCCCAAAAACTTTCAGCGCTACTTTTATCTTCATCATCTTGTACTGTAAGCAACTTAACGACTGAACTTAATCGTCTATTATAAACACACATTTTCCTAGAATTGTGATTAATTCCTCCTCTGCTCAATTCCTCTGTATACGTAAGCAGCTTTCTCGCCGATTACGCGTACGCATATATAGCTTGTCAATGTGTTGGTTGAAGATTATCGCTCTGGTCAGTATACTCTTTCATTTTCTTTTGTTTGACAGTGGTTGGCCTTGGAACATCATAGTTGCCGTTACGTCGGCTCAGTGTAATTGCGCGTACGCTTTCGAGAGAATCTTAGAACATCTTGATCAAATTCACTAGTCTTCGTTTGCTATTAACACGCGTGTGATATTTCTACATCTCTTTCTTTTTTTTTTTTTGCCAGCAAGGAACAACGCGTTGCTAGGAATTGTAAGAAAAACATTCGTTTTAATATTGAAAGTATCAATTGGAATCAGAGCGCAGCTGTTAGAGTGGATAATTATAATCACTAATGCCTATTCAAATTGTAATAGACTCGTCGGGGCGTACGAAAATCTCGCTCGATTTTTCTCTCTTTTACTTGTGTCATTAAAAAATATCGAAAGCGAATATAGAAATCTTTGATATTTTTATACGATCTTGTCTCGTTGTGTGTCTGCTGTCAAATACCAATAATATAAATATTCGGCCTTTGCGATCTGACTTTAATTGACCTTTGTACTCGTATCAAAGTTATTAGTTACTCATATTAAAGTTGCATATTAAAAATCCTTTTTTTTTCCATTTACATTACGTTTGTATAAATATGTGTACAATTTTCTTAGCTCTTGTCCAGTATAAGTGAAGATGAAGTTTTTGTACGCCGGTTTTATGTTTCTCGCATATAACTGTGTGACATGGGGCCAGGATTTAGCGTATCCAACCGACGAGGAGACGTCTCACGTCAGCGGCGGCAACTCCACGGTAATATTAATATATAAAATTATATGAAAAGCTATTTTTTTTCCTTATACATTCGTTCTTGCAGGTAATACAGGACCGTATTCCGATATCAATACCGGATAGCTGCCCGAAGGACATGCTTCTTTACCCAGGCGACAGTGGGAAGAATTCCTGGGTGTGCGACTGTAGACCTCGATTCTTATATTTCCCGTTGAATAATTCCTGCCACGAGGCCTACAGACAAGGTCCTTGTCCACCCAAGAATTACGTCGTTCTCCCCGAGGACGATGCGATTCCTCGTTGCGTAGAGAATCCCTGCTTGGAGGACGGCGTGGTTCCGTACAACGGCACGTGCTATCCTCTCAGAACAATAGGTGGTCCGTGTGCGCCCGATGGGGTAATAGGGGTGAACGAAACTACTTTCCAATTGGAATGTGTGGAAACGAGCATTGCACCTTTCATAATAATTGACCCTCCGATGAGGACGTGTCCACCGGGTAGCCGTAGGAGTACACTTGGAGTGTGCAAAAAAGTATAAGTGCATAAATAAATCTTGATCCAGTTGGTGTGTGAAGTTGGCACCCCCAAATGCAAATTTTGACAAAATCTACGTGGCATTAGATTGTCCACAATTTGTACGATTTGTCCATAATAATAATTTTTTCTCCACCTTGCTACAAAAAATTATAAACAAAAAGTTAGAGCAAATTTTGCCAGAAATACTAATAGGTATATTTATCTTCAAATTACATGCAGGATTCGATTGCCCACAATAAAAAAAATTAATTATTAATAATAATTAATTATATTTATTATTATTATTAATTATTTAATTTTTTAAATTATAAACAAATGAAAAGTTAGAGCAAACTTTGTCACGATCACTCATAAGTGCGTTTATTATTTTTAATTTACATACAGAAATCGATTCATATTTTGTAGCAAGGTGGACGAAAAATGATTGATGGACAAATGCGTACAAATTGTGGACAATCGAATCCCGTATACCTATAATTGAAAAAAAATGCACTTACGTTAAAATTTTTTCCAAGAGTGGACAAAAAATTATTATTATTGGACAAATATGGACAAATTGTGAACAATCTAATGCCATACAGATTTTGTCAAAATTCGCTTTTAGGGGTGTCAACTTCACACTTGATCCAGTTCGTCGCATGCTCCTTATTTTCGGGGTGCCCTATACGATTCAACATATGAGCAATATTGCAATGTTATATACACTCAATTTTCCAGCTTAAAATTAATAAACTACGTCAGGTTGGATAATTTCGAATAATTTTCCTTTTTTTTTTTTTGCGGGATAACTTTGATATATGTATTTCGTATTATAATTTATATACAAAATTACACACGCGTTTTTAATAGATAGATATTTAAAGAACATTAAATAACAAAAATTTGATGTAGGCATCAATAACATATATGTATCTTTGATTTTATACTGTTAATCTTAATTAATAACTATTATAAATTATATACTTATATAAGAATCGGAAAGATATATCTTAATCTTAAAATTCACGGGTCTATATAAATCACATACATATTCAGAATCAGAAAAATATAAAAGAAGCTACTGTTAATATCTATTACTTTTACTATATTTCTATATAATTATACTTATCTGTTTATTATACGTGGAAATATATTGTGATATATACATTGTTAACATTATTTTTTCAATACAAATCTCATATACCTAAATACCTAATACCTAAATTTAGAGAAAATCAATTAAACAACGAACGTTAATGCCTAAGCTTTTAAAGAATTTTTTTTTAGTTATAAACAAGAGCTATAAATAAATTTGTAATCTCAAAATATTTTGCTATACGCTGACCTTTCAGTTAAAAAGACTTATACTTTTTATAAAATCGATTGGCTCTGAGCACAGCGAATAGTATGTTCATATCAATATATTACTGGGCTCGCAGTAACTTTGTGCGCTTTTAAGATTAACAAATTTCACATCCAATTTATATCCTTTGAGATTTATATCTCGTTCTTGCAAATTAACGTGTGTATATATATATATTATCAAACTCAGCCTGAGAAACAAAATATTAAACTTTAACCGACTTTTAACTCGGCTCCTGCTGATTACTTGTAGCCTCTATCAATCTCTGCCTCTCTCTGTACATGGAAACTTTCATATTCTCCAGCTGATGGTACCTCAACAGTTTTAGAACAGCAAAAACCGACAGGCCGACCCAAATCGACAAGCTGCTCCAAATGCCGAATTGGGCAGCGCCAAGTTCGATGTGAAAGCCCGACGTGTCGATACCGTCGGTCTTGTCGATGTCATTCCCGGCCGCTAATTCGCATGACGGGAATCTCTTGGTCATACACTGGCACCACGTCATGAAACCCAGGGTTACGATAATCGCCGCGATCAGGGTGACGGTGGTGAGAATGACGGAGGTCACAACGTCTACGAACGCGGAGAGAAACGAGCTGTCCTCGCTGCGGTACATAAACAGGGACAGCCGGTAGATCTGTATTGTCGACGTGACGAGGAGCACCAGGCCCACGAATATCGTGTAATTGCAGTACGCCTGCGACGCCCAGTTCACCACAATCTGGCCATCCGACTCCCGCCACACTCCGGTCGAGAACAAAAGACAGTGTCCCCTGGAAGAGAGAGAAAGATATACGTATAGGTGGACAACGCGCGACAGAAGGGAAAAAAAAGTTCACGATCGCCACGGACGTCGAGTACGATCATTTGATTACCTAAACTCATCCTGATGCAGGCTCATGGGCACGATGATGCAGAGCGACAGGATAAGAGCCACGACGTAGCCCGCTATTTGGCTGAGCAGTAAAATATTTGACAGCGCCATAATTCAGGGCAGTTACACGCACGGGACGATCGAACGAGATGTATCTCTCCCACGGTTCAATATACCGACGAGATCATAGGTGAACACGCGATCAAACGATGAAAGCCGGTGTCCATGAATTCTGTTTCTTTTTTCTCTCCATTGACAGATCCCTCGAATCAACGACGAAAGTGTATGCTCCAGTATTTGCGCTTGTCAAAATAATCCGTGGACGTGCTCGCAGAATTTCTGCCGCTGTCACGGTGTGACGTCAGCATAGTCCCATCCATTCACAAACCTCGCGAAGTGTCAAATTCTGATTTGAATGAAACTTGGTACACTTTGAGGTCACATAAATAGATGAATTTAGAAATTATCAGTTGGTGCTAAAAAACGGTTTAAAGGGATGGAGCCACCCTTTATATGTAAATTAATTTTTTTTTCTTTTGTTATATCTCGAAAACTATTCAAGATATCAAAAAATGTTTTATACAAAAGTTTTACTGTAAAATCTGTCTCTTATACACATCTCTGAGCGGGCTGGCAA